ATTAATCTTGTTAAGATGAACTGAACATTTTGGTTTTTCGATATTGATGGTTATCTTACAATTTCAAATATATACCTTTGATGTAGCTTCATCCTCGATTATCAAAAAATGTATTATAAACCCTTTATTTTGTTGACTTTTATGAACATCAACTGAGGAGTAGTAACATTGATGATAAAGAAAATATAGTTTTACATATTCAAAGTCTGTTGCTCGTAAAAACTTATAACTCATTGTTTCATCTTCTTTTTGTGGTTCTAGTTTTCTAATAATATTCATTGATGGTGGAGTTTCTGTCTCCAATATATAATACAAAAAATAATTTCAATTAGAGCTTTACCTTTATTTAATTTAATCTAATAAAGTTCTGTTCTATAATTATTGAGGCGTTATTTTTTAATGTTGTATTATTAGTTGGTTTATATTGTGGTAATTTAAACTAATAAAGTTCTGTATTATAATTATTGAGGTGTTATGTTAATGTTGTGTTATTTTAATGTTGTATCATTAGTTGGTTTATACTATGGTAATTTAAACTAATAAAGTTCTGTTCTATAATTATTGAGGTGTTAAGTTGATGTTGTATTATTTTAATGTTGTATCATTAGTTGGTTTATATTATGGTAATTTAAACTAATAAAGTTCTGTTCTATAATTATTGAGGTGTTATATTGATGTTGTGTTATTTTAATGTTGTATCATTAGTTGGTTTATATTATGGTAATTTAAACTAATAAAGTTCTGTTCTATAATTATTGAGGTGTTAAGTTGATGTTGTGTTATTTTAATGTTGTATTATTAGTTGGTTTATATTATGGTAATTTAAACTAATAAAGTTCTGTTCTATAATTATTGACGTGTTATGTTGATGTTGTGTTATTTTAATGTTGTATCATTAGTTGGTTTATATTATGGTAATTTAAACTAATAAAGTTCTGTTCTATAATTATTGAGGTGTTATGTTGATGTTGTGTTATTTTAATGTTATATTATTAGTTGGTTTATATTATGGTAATTTAAACTAATAAAGTTCTGTACTATAATAATTTAGAAGTAATACTGCTGATAATGTAAACTAATAAATCTCGATTCCGACAGCCTTGTCAGTGACGCAGGTCACAGGGCCCTAGTCCCTTGGTTCCCAACATGGGGTACGGTATACGCCACAGGAGGTACCTAGGATAGACCCTGTAGACGATCTCAGTAGTAGGACTCTATATATAGCATATGAAATGGAGTTTTACGTAATCCTTTTCAGGTAATCTAACAGGGAGGACGTATATCTAAGAAAAGAAATGTGTGCACATCCGAATAAATCGATTATGACAGTAAGATGGAATGAACAACAAATGTGCATGCAGAAGGTTTAATAGAATTAATGAAATAATCGGTTCAACAGTTCCAAGTCTTCTACCCAAACATTAACCACTCCCCCATTTCTCTCCAAGGCTCCAAATCCAATGCCGGAATACTCACGTTGTCAGAACACTCTACTAAGATATTAGTACTGTTACTGTAATTAAAAACATACAATTTTTTAAGTGTTTAATTAACCCTAACCTCAAATGATCCGAACTTATTGTTAAGTGCAGACTCGAGAACGAAAACTACTTTTCAAGCTTTACTTAGTTACTTAGAACCATATTTGGCACGAGACTATTCCCACTCTTTTATCTCATTTACATAGCCTTATTTCGAAGTGCGCGATCCCAGAAGCCTTTGTGTCCAATTATTGTGAATTTGACGAAGATGACTTTTTTATTGATTTGAAGAAATTTTGTTATCTGTTTGAATATTAGGCCTAATATGTTTGAAGAGAGTCGATAAGCACCATTAATTATAAGAAAAACTTAACTATGTTATCTAAGCTATAAGGATGCATCTGGTTTCTGTCTCTAGAATTATTGCAATTTCATTAGATTCATAGAGATATTTTGTGTTTAGCAGGTTAACTATATGATTTACTACAAGTATCAGTTTTGCTAAACATTTATTATCAAAGGGAAGTAACCAAAATTATTATCTATTATTGCTATATAATCATATAAGATATATAGAAGCAGGAAGGTAAACATTAAGAACACAAGAATACTACGTTTCGTAACACATACAGGTAACGTTATCAAGTAAAATCATTTTTGAACTCTGCAGTTTAAGTTTCTAAATATCATACGTTGAAAATGTTTGAAGTTATTTGATATTTATATTAAACTTTTAAACCTTACCAGTGATCTCTATTTTCTGGTTTACTTGATCGACTCTATTAGCGACTACACTAGGGGTTGAAAGCCTCGGATTGGCACAAGCATCTGGATGTTTCTTAGCTTGAGGATTATTTTAACCCACGACACCTAATCGCCTAGCATAGGACGGCGCATCCATAGGAAAATTCAACTCGCTACCGACAGAGATGCAGGTCGAAATAGGTGAAAAGTGATTAGTTGTCTGATGATCACACAGCGTGAAACTCACAACAAGTATTTGGTTATGTTTGATATTTCTAAATAGATGAATTAGAATACGATATCAACAGTAATATATTTTGTAATTGTTTTAAATGAATAAACTAAATTCAAATGACTTACTTTTCGTGAAGAAACGCGAAGGTGGGAATTCTCTCAATTTTGGCGGTGTCACAAATAACTCGAGAGAATGTCAGATTACGGATTGCATTCATCTGCCCTAAAAGATGTATGAAGAAATTAATTGTAATATATTTCGCTTATCAAGACTAGTCTCCAAATGCTTTTTATAGACGAACAGGATGCATTATTTGGATGGAAAAAAAATGCAGATTTGTCTATATACTCTATGTGATAAAATATACAAAGTCACAATTTAAAACTGTATCCAACGGACGCCTCAGAACTTGAATAATGATTGTCATTTTAATCCCGAATACGGAACCGACATTTTATTTGTGTTGGAAAAGATCAAAATTGAATACAGATAACTTATGACGAGAATACTAAAGTACGATATTTCCAATTCAACATTTTTACCCCGATGATATTTGACATTGTAACACCTCGCTAAACACGTAAAAAATAAAATAGGTGAATTTCTTATCAGTCTCTGGGTAGTCACTTAACTACCAGCAGGAAGCAAATCTTACAGAATTTAATCGTTTTTCAGAAATTTACAATAGAATAATAAAAAGGTCATACCTTGAGAGAATCCAGAAGATTGTGCGTTTTCAAACCAGAATCGGTCTCCGAATTTCAGGTTATTGAATTGTTGACCAATGATACAAGCAAATGTTGGTCCAACAATACCATCGGTTACTGGATCTTCTGAAAGTCCGCCGATATACAGATCAACATCGTCAACATGCCTGTAATATTAAATACAGCAATTAACATTGCGTTTTACATCCCATTTTAATGTTATCTCCTCGTTGGTTTTCGACATGTACACTTTTTTCACTATTCACGACTAAACCCTATTCACTTAAATAAACTTCAAATTTAGTTTAATTAAACAATTTTATCTGGGTTTTATTTTGTCGAGGATAAGGCCCCTGATTTGATAGTTACTTACGAGTAAACCATTTGCAATCTATTAAACTGAGCTGATCCGTTATCAAACGAGTTAAGTCTAGGAAGTCCACAAGCTTCACGGAATGTGTTATACGATGGTAGCCCGAAGTCTCGACCTCTTTGTATGTTAATTGCTGCAAGAGTGTTCCCAGCAAATGCGTCGGTATTAAACAAATCAACTTGAAAAGCTTTATTAAATTCTAGATCTACTTCTTGACTAGAATCTATGAGCATTCCCTTCATCGTATGATCGTAACCGGTTCCTAGAAAAAATAATTCATAACATATTGTCGTACATACCACAAAACTGTGTACATTTGAAATTACTATATGACAAATTTATTCAAAGAGGTAGAATTCGTAAAGGCCAATGTTCTCCATTTTCAGGGTTGATTTGAGTCTAGAATAATATACAGTCTTGAGAAGTACTAGAACTACAAAAAATCGCATACGCTAATCAAATTTATCTTAAGCTAGAAGCGTCACTTTCTATTTCTGTATACTTCTTTTCTCTGTATGGCAGAGTCTCAAAAAAGTCAAGTCGCCTTTTCAACTTTCAAACGCGGAAAGTTCTGGACACACATTAATGTGAATGCTCAAATTTCAACGGCGGACAGTTTACACCATTACTGATTAGTTTAGCTAAAACAAACTCCAGTTTCTAAGATTAAGGTACGATTGGTCAAACTGATGGTGAATTTGAGCAAATATAGACCGAAACATCTGTCTCTATTATAGCCTCTGATAGTTATTTGGACATATGTCGCTTGACCTACTCCTTATATCTTCCAGAGCCAGGTATCTAGGCAGATGTTTCGAACTAGGGTTAATCATTACAGTGAATTGAATTGGCTCAATGACAAAGACTAACTCTTAACGGGAAGTCTAACCTGGGATTCTGGTTTCAAACGTTTTCAGAGGTGAATCGGTTTGTATGACCATGACGTTCTATCACAGCCAATCAATTCGCTGATGGCCTTGGGAACATTGCAGATAGAAATATTCTATAATTTGAAGCCCCCATCCCCCAGGCTAAATCCCCCAGGCTAAATCCCCCCTACATGCGATATTGAAGTACAGCACTGGTTATTCTCTTTATTGTATTATCCGATATGTATACAGCTTATTCTAATGCTATATTTCAGTCTAACGTCAGTGACTCGTAACAGTTCCATTAGGAGTGATGATCGACAACACGATGCAGTCAAATTTTCAAAATTATAAGACGAGCTTTCTGTATTGAGCTTGCTACTGAAACTAATGCTAAAATAAAGGGATTAGATATAAATCGCAAGGTTCAGAATGAAGATGATATTCATCAAAGGCCAGAGAAAATAATATCCTAAACCTCTAGAGAAAACTTACCATTTGCAATTTGAATATAATATGGCCTCTGAAACATGACACCGAGGGGAAGTCGACTATTACCATTTGTCCACTTATTAGGTACGGAAGAATGACCATATCTAAACGCTGCTGCACTAAAACTACTGAAGATACCAGGTGATATATTGGGATTGTAGGAATACGGTTCTGTTAGTCTAAAAAATATATAAGTCCAATATAATAAATTCACACAATTATTCTTCGGGATCGTCGCATCTGATTTCTTAAACAGGATGCAATCACGTTCAAGTAAAATTATTAATTCAATAAGAGACCGGTCTAAAAAAATGAATCAGGACCTAGTGGAAGGGGCGTGATCTAAATATTTTGCGAGAAATAGTATAATCTGGTATGAGGATATTCAAAATCAAAGCGTGTTTTGATAACCATGTCGAAAAGAGGAGGTAGCACAACCGAAAATAGAGCCATGCGACAGCCCTCTTTCAGCCGTTATCCCACAATTCGTTATGGTTAACAAGAAACAGGTGATACATGACTGTCTCATACCGTTATAAAGAACTTGAAAAATAAATGGCTAGATTAAAACGGGGACAAAATATAACAGAACAACAGAATCTACTGTGTAATCTATTTTTACAAGGTTGGGTATTGAGAGAATTGGACCCGAAATGATGGTTTATTTTGCGATGGAAGAGATCTAACAAATACTGACCCATATTGACTCATAGCAGCTGGTCCTATCAATAATGGTAGATATTCATGATAAGTTATCTTTTGTATTATAGCGACAATGATTCTTCTTGTTTCTTGAAATAGAATTTCATCATCCAATGAAGGGTTCATTGTGGATAGTTGTTGTGCAATTAGGTTGTGATAACGCATAAACACTATGTGAAGAGCGGTCAAACCAGATACTTCATTGACTCGTTTATCACCTGCAAAAAATGAGATAGTGGTAATAGGCTAATCAGTTTTTATTCGACAATGTTTTTCGTGTATTTTTTGATTGGATTCTACCTCGGTAATAAATAAAACAAATTATTTTGTCAATTACATTACCCCCCTTCCTCTTATAAATCTTTACTTTTACTCCTCTCCCATCTATAAAACCTTAAAGGCCTTAAGCGAAAGCACTTTTTAACTGTTTGCTGATTTTGTCACTAGTTACTTCCCTTATACAAATCTTCTCTATAGAGGTTTTTAGTAGTGTATAGAGTTTTAAGCGAAACGAAAAACTTGTATTCGGGGCTGCGAGGGGTTATTTGATTTCTTCCTTGATCTACTTACCAGCATCAAAACAGAAATCATTGTCTGTAAACAGGATACAATTTGATTTATCATCAGGATTACTTCTAGCAGGTAAGAGTGCGTGTGCGCTAATCGTCAACTTCCCTGCAACATTCGATGGAAAGTTTATAAAATAGGTTTCTAAAAAGTTGTGTAATGGTTTTGGTGGAAGGAGCCGATTTTAAATTTCCCACAACAGGTTTCCTTATTATTTTGCAAGTAGGCTTACTCAGTGATTCAATCGTCAACCTCGTTGACCTGTCACGTGACGCCATTCCCACTCCTGTTATCGGA